GAAATGTCATCTCTGTATTTTTTATATTCATTGCTTCTGTCTAGATTTTTCTCTCACTTACTTCTTAAGCTCCTATTCCTCAAAGCTGAGGCAGGTAGTTTTGCTTTTTGAGTCTTTTTTTTTTTTACTTTATATACTTTTAAAAAATTTTTATTTTATGTGTATGCGTGTATTGCCTGCATGTTCGTGAGTGTACCCGTGTTATGCAGTGCCACAGAGGTCAGAAGAGAGCGTCGGATTCCCCTGGAACTGGAGTTAAGGATGGTTCGTAGCCGCCATGTGCGTGCTGGTAATCGAACCCAGGTGATCTACAAGAGTAGTCAGTGCTCTCAACCACTGAGCTATCTCTTTATATACTTTAAAAAGTGTTTTACTCTTTAAAACAGAACCGACCTGCCTGCACCTCTTTATTTCACATATATTTTATCATATTTTTCACTATATTATATTCGTTTATTAGGTTTCTTTCTTATTTTCCTTCTTCACTAGATTGTGACTTTCCAGAAATTGTTCTTTGTTTCTTCATCACTCGACATGGAGACAAACACTTGAAAGGCCTTAAATCAACATTAAATCAACATGAACTCAGGTTCAAGCAGGAATCATCACGAAGCAGGCTTACTAAAGTAGAATAAGGAATTGTAAATGCAGTCTTTGAATTTTTGTTGTGTTTCATCAGGTTCCTGAATTTGAATGAAATAAAAAATGTGAACATGTAAAAATGCCAAGCAGTGAAAATGTGGTAAGAAAAATACACAACTGATAAGGAAAAATACAGAGCAGAACTGTGTATCACTGAATTATTATTATATGCTAGTGACAATAGTAATAACAATAGTAACTGTAATGGCAAATGCTAGCGGGATGTGTACATGGAAGACAATTAAGAATTTGGGATTAAAAAAAGTGGGGCTAGAGAGATGGCTCAGTGGTTAAGAGAGGCCAGCCTGGTCTACATAGTGAGTTCTGGGCCAGCTGGGGCTACAGGGAGACCCTGTCTCAAAAAAAGAAAGAAAATACTTGTGTGTATAATGCTGATTTGGAAACTCTGAAGTATGTTTGAGTAGTTCATTGATAAGAGAAGTGCTGAATGTGAATGCCAAGTGAGATGTAGTAAATAAACAGATTGCCAATGAAGGACTGCGTGAGGGCCAGTTGAGATCCAGGTCTACTCACTGTTTCTAAAGTAATTTAAAATAAAAAAAGTGGGGCTAGAGAGATGGCTCAGTGGTTAAGAGCACTGACTGCTCTTGCAGAGGATCTGGGTTCGATTCCCAGCACCCATATGGCGGCTAGGAGCCATCCTTAACTCCAGTTCCAGGGGCATCCAAAACCCTCTTCTGACCTCCACAGCATTGCAGGACACGGGTGCATTCACATACAGACAAGCAATACACTCATTCACATAAAATAAAAAATAAATAAATAAAATTTTAAAAAAGAATTTGGGATAATGCCACATGCCTCTCAGGTAGAATAAACAGAACTGTTCTGTGTGCCTAGGTTGTCAGGCAGAAGAAGATTTTCCATTCCTGAGATGCAAACTCTGTTATTAAAAATAGTTGCTTACGTTGCTTATTGCAGGATATTTCTTCTCTCCTGAGCTGAGTTCTGTGAAACTTTGGATGCCCGTTTCCAGCAATAATGGATGATGTGTGTGTCTCAGGGGCATAATTTAGTGACGTTTTGCAGTGAAATGCTGACTGAGGATTGAAATATTCCATATGTCTCGAAATTCCACAAGTCCAGAAGTGTGGGAGACGTTCAGCCGCAGAAACCGAACATGACTAATCCTTACAAAACATTCTGAGCTGGAGAGTTCTTCTCTGCTGCCTGGACATACTGCAGAATGCATCCCGTTGGGACCTTAATGGAGCCATCTGGAATTTTTCAGAGTTAATATTACTGCTCTTGCTTTTGCAGAAAGGCAGCAAAGACCCCGCTTCACAAGCTCCCTACGTGAGGCATGTAGGTGGCCATTGGCGTGCGGTTTTCTTTGTTGCTGTGCTCTGCCAAAAATAATTGCAAATATGTTTTTGCTTACTTTTCATCAAAAAAACAAAAACAAAAACAAAACGTCATAAGTGAAGCTGTTTCCTCATTGCTGACTTGTTTTTAAGCCTCAAGCACCTTAATTAGTGCATAGTATTTCAAACCTACGTTTCTTTTTTGATTCCTCTATTTCCTGAACTCTTAAAACAAGTTTTGAGTATCCCTACTGGGAAATACTTTGGCCCTGAGAGAACTCATTTCCAAGTCCCCTTTCCTCTTAGGTAGTCTAGAAGGAGACAGAGTTCTCCTGAAGGTCATTTGAAGGTAATTATGACTACTTTTGGGGGCGCTGTAACATGTATCTGATTCTGAACACAGGCGTGGTGGTATTGAAATATATTCAGTTCAACAAATATGAAGTAAAGCCCTGCTTATTCTAAGTAAGATGTATTCCCACACTGCCCGGGGGTGATAACCCATATGAAGACCAGTGTGTGGACAGTACAAAATCTGGGAACTCTAAGGGGCAGATAAATCAGCTCCAACATGGGAAACCAAGTAGTGTTTGTCAGGTAGTGATGACTTGGTGACATGAGAAATTCCAAATCACCATTCCCCTTGCTTAGTTGTCTCTCAGATGCCAACTTTCTTCACACCGTATTCTGGGACTCAAGTGCAACATGTTACTTGAAAAGGCTCATGAGTCAGAACGTCCTCCACTGATGGACATTCAAGAGCTCGTTCTATTCCTGCTCTATGTTTGCACTTTGCTGATTACTCACATAATAAAAAGTAATACTGTGGGGCTGGATGGCTCAATGGTTAAGAGCACTAACTGCTCTTGTAGAGGACCCTGGTTTGGTTCTCAACACCCACATGGTAGCTAACAACCATCTGTAACTCCAGTTACAAGATCTGACACCTTCTTCTGACCTCCACTGGCATTGCATGACATGGATGCACTTACACATGCAGGCAATACACTCGTACACACATTAAAAAACAATAATAAAATATTTTTAAAAGTAATATTGCTAATCAGAAGATAAAGGAAAACAGAAACGTGCATCCCACAGTAGCTAAGCACTTCTTTAACCACTAGTATATCTCCTCAATGATTCCTGTTTCAACATTTATCCTCTTGTCTCATGAGTATCAATGACAAAGACACGTAGCTGTATTTCTCAAGGGACAGTCATTACAGAAGAGGACACCTCACATCTTAAGTAGGCTTATGATATCTTTCTTCTACCTTTTGGCTTCTAAGAACTTTACTTAGAGTATCATGTGTTGCCCGTCAGTCAAGACAGTAGTGTTTCAAGGTCAAGGTGAATTCCTAACCAAGGTCGTGTCTGTTATGCTCAAAGTATCTCAATCAGGAGTCAGTTGAGGGGAGAAAATATTTCTGTGGCTGACATATTCCATTTGATATCTAACTACCGTCGTGAGAGCCAAAGCCTCAGGTGATGTATAAAAGGTATCGGGTTGTGAAGTTTGTGAGGCCCCAGTGGCCTCTTGCCTCACCCTGATGTTTCTTTCATAGGTTTGGAGACATTAGGCCAGCACACAGGTCTGTCTTAAGCCTATTCAAGCAGTAAATTACATGGAGTGTAAACAGAAATAATACAATGATAATTATGCATGCATTTCATTGTTGCTGTCTAAGCATGTCTCTGTGCGCTATTCTAACACCATTGCTAGGCACATATATGTCTGACATTTGTTCTAGATGTCTCGCCTTGGGCATTAGGTTTCACTGGATACCATATTTCAACAAATTCTCATTCCTCTGCGATAAGTTCAGACTTAACTAAATTTGTTAGAGCCTTGCAGCACCATGCGTAAGCTGACATTTTAGTAACCCCTAATATTCAACCCAATCCATATAATACTTAAAGGCTATTGACTGGAATATGCCTTTTAACCAAGACATCAATCACACTGCCTACTATACTGAGTTTCTCCTTAACTAAATTTTGTCCATACAATTTCTGTAAAGTCAGTTGTGATTATCGTTATCATTATCATTTTTCTGGTTTGCTTTCAGTTGCTGTGATAAAACACTGACCAAAGCCAGTTTAGGGAGGGGGAGGATTTATTTGGTTTATAGGTCACCATCCATCAGGAGGGAGTCACAGCAAGTGCTCAGGCAGCAACTGGGAGCAGGAATTGAAGCAGAGGCCGTGGAAGAATGCTGCTTACTGGCTTGCCGCTTCCCCTAGTTCATGCTCAGCCAGCATTTTAAAAAGTAATATTTTTACTGATTCTTTAATCATTCCATAGAGTGTATTTTGATCGTATTCAGACCTTCTCCCCCATCTCCTCTCAGATCCATGCTCACCTTCCTACCCACCCTCATTTCGTGTCCTCTATTATTTTTTTAAGGTCTATTGATTCTAATTTGTGTGTCCCAAATGCTCTTGTGTATGAGTCCATCCCCTGGCGTGTGATCAACCTAACTCTCATCACACTTTTTATGGAAACAAACTCTCCATCTCTCAGCAGCTATCGGTTGTCAGTAATTCCTCAGATAGGGTGAGGCTTTATGTCCATCTCATCCTCCCCTGCTGGAATTTTGTCTGCATAGGTCTTGTGCCTGCTATCTCAAGTGCTGTGAATTAATATGTGCAACTGCCCTGTTGTATTCAGAAAACACGGTTTACTTGTATTCACCCGCCACTTCTAGCTCTTATAATAGTTCCACCTCCTCTTCTGGCTTGGGAAGAGAGGGTGTGATATAAGTGTCCTATTTAGTTAACCAGTATTTTTATATAACCCAGGTCCATTTGCCCAGGGCTTACACCTCTCACACTGGGCTGGGCCTTTTTATATCAGTTAGCAATCAAGAAAATGCTTCACAGACATGCCCACAGGCCAATCTGATGGGGGGAATTCTTCAGTTGAGAACTGTCAAGTTGACAACTTTTCTTAGGTGTGTCAAGTTGACAACTGAAGCTATCTATGACAATCATACACAAAATATTTATCATGTTTTTATGTTTTTTTAGGTCGCCAGTCTCTTCAGAAGATCATGGTAAGAACCTGTACTACTTGTACTAAATTCTGCTTTCAAAGTTGTTCCCTGGTCCTTGTATTTCATTGCCAGAGCAAAGAATTATTTAAGGAAGTGCTTCTAAGATTTGGCCTTATAGTTTTTGAGTGTGAACTGTCAAACACTCTTAAAAATATGATTCATGGTAGCTGAGGTTGATATCTGGTATTATTTTCAACTGTATCGTGACCATTTTGGTTGACAAACCATGAACCTTAACATCTTCTGCCAGGTTTCTGTCCTATCATGAAAAATGTTCCCTGGCTTTTGAGCTAAGCATGTATTATCTGTAAATTAGACTTTCATCTTTAAAGTGTAGGAAATATTCCCCAGATCCCTTCCATATTGCACATTGTGGGGCTGTGTCCTTGCACACTCATTGGCAGAATGTTCTAGATCTGAAATGAAGCTGACCAGTAAGTGATATGAGCTGCTACCCAATTGAGGTGGATTATTTGCATTTTCAGAGACAGCTGCTTTACTCAAAGGACAAAAAAAAAAAAAAATCTATGTCATTTCCAACCCTTTTATTCACTTGTTCAGTCCTGTAGCATTGTTCCTTAAATGGCTAGAATGGGTTAATTATGCCATCGAATTGCACTTCACAATTATCTATATGTGAAACTTTACGTGAGGACTTCGTGATACTTCTCTTCTTGGACTTCTGTGTTGTCTTAGAGCTGATACCCATGCCCGTGGATTACCTCTCCCTCGTTTACTGTGTAGAGCACCTTTTTGCATACAGGATAAAAACTTTCCAACGCACTGAAACTCTTGATTGGCTTTCCAATATTGTATTTCACTCGGGCCAGTAGGCTCTAACAATGGACTCTTCCTGTTCCTTTACTGCTGATCGATTCACCGTCTTTTCGATTTTCTTGTCTGTAATCCATACTCCAGCTGTAACGCTGTATCACATTTCAGAATCGCATCCTATTTTCTGGCTCTCCCAGCTTTCCTTGCTGCTAGTCTCCCTGGGAGAAAATGACGTCTCCATTTTGCCATATACATGTTTTCTGCTCCCTCTTTTTATCCTCTGTGGATCCACTTACTGTGCCAAATATATTTTCTCCATTTTAGAAATTACCCCACTGCTCTGATGCTTTCTTTAGCTGTCTCCTCTATTAGACTGAGAGTTTCTTTGATATAGTTTCCAATGAAAAGCAAATATTAAAAATGTATTTATTAAATGAATGAAGGAAGGAAATGGAGGGGGAGTTTTAGGCAGCCTCTCCTGCTGCTGTATTTTGAAATCTGTCCCAATATTGGAATGAAGTTGGATCGTGTTCTCTGAAGAACTGTAGGGAAAATTATGTTCAAGGCCCATTAAGTCAGAATTAGGTAATCAACCACCTAATGGTAAGCCATTATTGCATGCTATTTTGCTGATTGTTGCTGGTATGAATAGGATTTTGATTGTATATTTATAAGTCCTTCAGTTTTCCCATCCAAATGATAAACTGGAAGTGTGTCTATGGCTTTTATTTTGAGCTAGTTTTAACCTTAATGACCTCTGGCTGCTTTTGCCCTCTTATCTATAAGAATAAATCCTCCATTCCAAAGGGAAGAGGGATGCTAAATTGCAATCTTCTGGTCCACAATGATTT